TTTGACTAGAAAGCTCCTTGGTCACTTATACACCACGGATTGGACTTCTATAGTCAAATGCATAAATGAACAGCAGATCCAAAGTATTCAGAGGTTTCTTGTGCGTTACGTTTTCCAAGCATCACTCCACACGATATGGAGAGAAAGAAATGCAAGAAGACAGAGGGATCCTCCGATTCTTTCTCGCAAACTAATCCAATTCATCGATAAGCAAGTTCGTAACCGGCTTTCTTCTATTCACACCTGGGACCGACGCTATGAAAAGGGACTCCAAATTTGGTTTGCTTCTCAAAGTTAAAGTCATTATTCTACGATTCTTTAATCATTTTGTTATAAACGCAAACAGAAGCATTTGATGTAACACAAATTTTCTTTGAATTAATTTAACATATAATTCAAAAAAAAAAACATCAAAGGAAATCAAAGAGAACACGTCTCAATAATTATATTAACAAAACCGAGTTTAAAAACACATTTTCTTTTTAATAAACAAGCGTATAAAAAATTTGCAAACACATCGTTTGGTTCGTCTTCATCTTCACATTCTCTCTCCATGATCGTTTTCAAACAAAAAATCACAAACTAATAAAACGGAAACTTTATTTTTGATCCTCTAGAATCGAAGGTTCTGATACCATGTAAAGTAATATAAATATATTTGAAAGAACTTGTTATTCATATTAATCATAGGCAACTGCCTTATTTAAACATTTACAATATAGAAATAAACTTAAAACTAGATTCAATCTTTATCTCTAATTAAAATGATCATTATCCTAAATATATATGTGAATATATCTGATGATTCTAGAGAATAGAATTCTCTAGAACCTTCTCTAACATCTTTTGAGCTCTTTTGTGAGAGAGCGTCTCTCTATATTAGAAGATAATGATGTTATGGTGGACCGTGGACAAACAACGATAAATATAGTTCGTAGATTCTTTAAAGTTGTGAAAATTTGCAAATTTTAGTGCTAATGTCATGTTTGATTTTCGTTAAATTAGTGTTGTCTTAGTTGTAAGTTTTGTTTTCGGAAAAATTATGTTTTGCACCGGCTTTGTTTCTAGAAATATTTAGTTTTTATACCGACTTAGTTTTCCTATTTTGGACTTTATTTTCGGAGACATTTTATTGTTCTGCTGGCTTTGAATTTCACTTTTGTATTCTATTTTTACTATTTAACTAGGCTTTTAATTCGTACTACGTGCGAGTCTATATTAATAATTTGGTTTAAGTTTTTGGCTAATATTTATTAAATTATCAAAACTATAATATATTTATTGAAATTTTCTTTTATATAAAAAAATTAAAACATAATATGTAGTATTTTCTATTTTTTTTTATAAACTTATTAATTTTATAAAGTAAAATCATAGTAATAACACCTAACGAATTATCCAACTTCGATGTGCATATGTTTGATTTAGAAAATGGTTTCCTTATTAAATTTTTGGTGTTTTGTTTTGTATTCTTAGGGTTTCTATGGTTCTTTTTTTAAAGGGTTTATATGTTTAAATATTTAGTTTCTTTAGTAAATGTATCACTAATGTTGTGTACATATACATATATAATATATGATATATATTGATTCAGATTTACTTTTGTTAGTAAGCTACACTAATCGTGTAAAGCTGCTTTTTGCTTCTCCACCAGATCTTCTACGAATTTTAGGTTATATCTCTATTCAGTTTATAAGATCTGTTTTATTTGCAGTCAACTATTTACTAATATTTTTTTTAAACATGTAAGATGATGTTGAGACTTCACATTATCACTGTTTTTTTTTTTTTTTATCTTTTGTGTGTTTATTCATGTTTTGATTTGAATATTTTATCTTCATATATTCTCATTTGAATTTGATTCATAACTTTGTCATATTATATTATTTAAATAAAATTTTAGAGGATGTTGCTCATGTGTTGTTCATGTTGACTGAGTTATGAGCAGTAAATATGTATACAAATCAGACTTTATTTCTTATTATATTTTGAATGTAAAGTTACTTGTGTAGTATTTTACTTTGTTAATTTTTCAATCAGACGCAACCAAGGTATTAATCTTTTGTAAATTTAAATAATATTTTTAATTTAGAAACTTGTATAACCTATTAAAACTTTATATGGTTATTCATAGTCAACACCAATATTTTAGAAATCATGAATGTTTTTGGAACTATATTTCAAAGTCATTTTCTTCTTAGATCTTTTTTTTTTATTTTAAATATCTTCGATGGTAATTTTATATTTTATTTTAATTATATAATTTTCTGCAGGTTTAATATACTTAAAACATATATATTCTCTTTTGTTATTGATTTTTCAAATAGGTAGCATATATATTAATCTAATATCTTTTACATAAATGTTTTATCTTTGTTAAATTTACTTTTAAAATTAATTAAAATGCTATTTTGACATGCTATAACTGATTATTCTAAATTTTAAGTGAATTTCTCTCAAAAATTTATACCATCAGTTGCTTTTTTTAGTTAATATTTGTTTGGTAATTAGCCTAAATATCAAGCTAATTTTACTTTATACGATTTTTTCTTTTGATAATTTACCTCTCTTGATATTGATTTTTGTTTTATTTTAACACTTTAAAATATTGATATTTTGAAGACATGACTTTTTTGTTAGTTAAATATTTTAATATTAATTTTTTAAGTAGTTAGTTAGTAATCAAGTCAATATATTTTTAAGTATTTTTAATAATATTTTGTAAAACTTAATTTTCATTTTAGTTTTTAGTTAATTAATTTCTTAATATTGATTTCTTAAATAATTAGCTTAAATATTTATATTATTTTTGTTAGTTAAATTTTTTAGTATTATTTAAGTTTTTGTCTTCTCTTATTTATTCTGTTTATATTGATTTTATAAAATAAATAACGTAGATATTAAGTTAATATCTTCTTTTTGTTAATTTAACTTTCTCGATATGGACTTTCATTTTAATTGTATTGACATGTTGTAAGAAATAATTTATGTTTTGGTTTTTGTTAGTTAAATATTTTTTTATATTGCTTTCTTCAGTAATTAGCATAAAGTATCATTTTTGGTTTGTTAAGATTTTTGTATTAATTTTTTAAAATATTTCCCCAAAAATTATAAGTTTTAGATGACTTTTCTTTTTGATAATTTAAGATGATTGTTTTTTTGGTAGTATTGATATTTTTAAATAACAATTTTATATAATTATATGAAAATTTAATCTTAATATTTTTCTAAATAAATTACTCGTTTAAAATATATATGCTAAATTATTTTTTAATTTAAAATTTTCGTTTTTGATTTACATATTTGATTTTATTAGTTTAGTTTTTGTGACAATGAGTTTCCATTTTATTTTCACAATAGATTTAGACTTTTGACATTAATTTATTTTATTTAGTTAAAAAAACTTAATTTATCTTAATTTTTCATTCTATTGTAATAATTTTATATTTTTGTATGATTTAATTTATTTAGATCATTAATAATATTTTATTTTTTTATGTTTAATGAAAAATGCTGATATATGCTAATCAGATTGAGTATATATGTCCTATGTGGATGCTCTCATTGGCCTAAAACATCAACACTGGCCACAACTAATATATTTTAAGTTAGCAGTTCAGATTTTAATTGTTTGTCATGATTAAAATTTTAAAATAATTTAATTATGGTTTTTAAATACAGTTTTTAATAATTGTGTTCAATATAGATGATTTTTCTTTCATAATCTATTTATATGTTAATTTACTTTTTTATTGTTAATAAAAAAATAAGATCTATTTTCAAAACTATAACTAACTTAAAATTTAGAAACTTTCCTAATAACAACAAAAACAAAATTAATCAAAATTTAGAATTTTTCCTTATAACAATTAAAACGAATTAATTAATTTTAATATACAATATATAATTAACTAAAAATAATGATGATGTGTACCAATAAAATTAAATCTTTAAATCCTATGTGGATACCTTTAGAGGCATTTAGATAATAGATATCAATAGATGAAAAAAATGAAAAAAGAGATGATAATAAAACCTTAAGATTCGCGTTTCTTTAAATACAGAAGTTTCATTTGCTGTATGTAGTAAACTAGGTGTTTCTCTGTACATTGTGCAGGGTTCGATTAAAATTTTTAAAAGATTATAACATTAGTTTATTTATAAATAAAAAAAATCAGATTTTATAATGATTCGAAATCAAACTTAATATATTGTTTTTTTGTGACAAAGCAAAATATATTATTTATATCTTGTTAATATCTTTTATATTATCCGACAAAAATTTATATGTATACTTTGTTGTTTTGTTGCATTTATCAAACATGTTAAATAATTCCCTTCTTTTGATGTAAATTGGTAGATTAAGATTAATGAAATTCAAAGTTTGCATAAAAAAAAAACATAGCAATCTAAAATGACCAAAACCAAAGTAGCTTTGTTTCATATCAATTTAACATTAATTAATATATATATATAACGTTTTAAAAAGGTTTAAATGATTTAGAATTTTACTTGTGGTCGCATAAATCAATTAGGTTAGTCAAAAATATTAATAGGTTAAAAATCAAATTAAAATTAGTTTAATGAAATAATTAGGATTTTTTTTATTTATGCTAGTTACTTTTTATAGTAAACTGAATATTTTTATGATATAAACTCGAATTTGGAAATCTAAATTAAAAAAATAAAAATCAATTAAAAATTAGATTATATTAATTTATTAATTTCATTAAGGATAATTAAAGTGAATTCACATAAATGACAAAATGTAATAATAATTAATAATATGATAGTAAACGATTATGCGCGCACACAAAAATATATTCCTCCTCAATAAGAGTCCCCCACTTGGGGTTGGTATTAGATTTCAAAAGTATTCAATTGCACATATATAAGCTAGACTTCAAAAAAAATTCAAGATTTTTAGGGATTTTAAAATTTTAAATGTATTCGTTTACAATTCTAATGTTAATACTTTATTTGATTCTAAGAAAATGTAATAGACCAGAAATTGAAACTGCATAAAATCGAACCAAGCTACAAATGGCTCCTCGATAAGAACCAAGCCGTTTACCGTAATATTCTCTAAAACTAATAAAATTAAAAACTAGAAAAACCAAACCTTCTAAACCGTTTAATTAGATTGTCCACCACTATTGAAAAGTGTTGTCATGAGCAAAAAAAAGGGAAGAAGATACATAGACAAACATAAAAATTGATCAACTGCTTTATCTCATTATCACCTAAACACAGAATTGATTAAATCTTTCAGATTCTTGCATCCGATTATTTCAATCTCTTTCAAATCAAGCGCCTTCAATGACTTCTCCACTGATTGTGGAACCACACATTTCGTAAACCCTAGCTTTGCCACTGTACTTACCCTTTTCTCCATTCTCGGTACCTGTACAATATTGTTAACCTTCAATCAATATCTGATGCACATAAAACTCTCAATAACAATTAGCTAATTCCTCAAAATGCTATCGCTTACCGTGCGAATCTCGCCTCCTAGACCAATCTCGCCAATGAATGCGACTCCATGAGGAATTGGAAACTCCAAGAAACTGGATTACGAAATTAAAAAACACAATTGTGGTTCATTTTGCAGCTAATAACTAAATAATGCAAATCTTGCAGACAGTTTTTAAAGAGAACAAAGAAGTAAACAACACTCACCTGCTACAGATTGCTGCTGCTATTGCAAGATCACCAGCAGTTTCGGAAAGAGCCATTCCGTTTGCAACATTCAGAAAAATCCCCTGAAGAAACAAATTATTCATTACTATCACTAGAATACTAAATAGTGAGACGGTATAGATTAAAGTTTAACATGGTGAGCAACATTGTAGATCGGCACAATATTAAGAAATCTCTAAGCTTACAGTTTCCTGAATTCTGAGACCAGCTTGCTTCATAAGAACCTGTGACATAATAGGCCAAGACGTAGTAATGAGATAACGTTTATTGATTAAGTAGAAAAGGAGTGAGGGCCTGTACCAAAAGTATAAATTGTTATGGGAGAAATGAAAAAAGAATTTTTTTGAAGTAGTTAGTACTTACTGCAATTATCATGTCAGCTCTGCTTGCTTGAACACCATTGACATGCCTTGAAACAGTTGACCCAGGCGCACACAACGCCTACATAAAGACCAAAACCAATGTTTCAAACCAGAACTAGAACGTTTGGAATAATGAAGCAGAAGAGTATAATGACACAGAGTTATCTGGTGACGTACCTGAACTTCGATAAGGAAACTCCGAGATCCATCCATAACAACTGCCACAGCTAAACCAGCAAGAACATCTGAATCCGTGTTCTGTTGACTAAGATATATGCCACTAGGGTTTGAGACCACTTCAAGTCCAAATTGTGACATTTCGAAAACTCCAAGCTGACAAAGGAGATAGCCACGGTTTATTTGATATTTCTCCACAGATGAGAAGCAACCTCAAACCACATAACATAATAAAAGGGGACACAATTCACAGAAATGAGATTCTTGGACGAGCAAGTTCTCGAGAAAAGCGAAACCAAGAGATATGTGCATATTAATTTTACATGGTCATATCAAGGATTTGTAAACATACTTCATCAGTCGACCCAAACCGATTCTTCACAGATCTAAGCAAGCGGTAAGTTGAATGTTCTTCACCCTGGAATGTAACAGAAAATTTACGTCAAGTAATCTAATAACAAATCAAGCTCATATACTTGCTATTGTCTTAGAGTCTACAGAGCGCCATTTATTGAAGGGGGTATCATGATTGCATATTTAAACACAACAGAAAGTGAAAAGCTGAACACCTCCATGTACAAGACAACATCTACTATGTGCTCCAAAACACGAGGTCCTGCAATATCTCCCGCTTTCGTAACATGTCCAACCTAAAACAGTAAGCAGTGTGCGTAAAAGTGCAGATCCGGATCAGACCACAGATTCAAATTTGTATAAAAGGAAAGAATTTGCAGAAGGGTACCTACTCACCAAGAAAACAGGTACATTAGATTTCTTAGCAAAACGCAACAGGGTTGATGTGCACTCTTTGACCTGTCACGATCAGAGATTCCCAAAAATATATAACTTTCAGCAGACCAAATAAGAGAAGATTAGGGATTCCATAGAGATGGGAAGCAACAAAAATCAGCTATGGATTAACTTTGTTGCTTATAGTAATTAGAGTTCAAGCTAATAGAGGATGGAAACTTTGAAACCTGTGTGAGACCACCAGCGCTTCCAGTCACATCTTTTAGGTAAACCGTTTGAATTGAATCAATGATGAGAGCTCGGGGAGATAGCCGATGAGCTTTTGTTAGAATATCCTGAAATAAATTACAACAGATGATTTGGTTCAGGTAATTTACTAACCAATTATTTTCATTTATTATACAGAAAGGCTTGAGGGTTTCACACAGCATGGAGTTGGTGTTTGACAGGAAAATTGACTTGGATATATTAACATTTACGCACAAAAAACAAATAACTTTGCATAGCTAAAGCGTTTAGAGAAGTGTTGAAATGTGACTTTTGTTTGTAATGCTGATCAAAAAGTATACCTGGAGATCAGAGCTCGAAAATAGGTAGAGCTCGTCAGTTTCAATTTTCATTCTGTCAGCCCGACTTCCTATTTGGTCTACACTCTGCAAAAAAAAAAAATGTAATCAATCCAACAGAATGTTAAAAGGATAAAAACAGCCAAACATTTTTCTACAAATAAAAAGCAGGTGGACAGAACTAAGCTGCTAGAACTCGAGCTAAGATTATTCTGCTGCTTCTTAAAAAGGGCATGTAAGCTCACTCAGACCATCTTAAACAACTTATAATTAAAAAAAAAATAGCCATGAAGCAATTATACAATCAACGAGTCTTGAATGAATGAATCAGAAACCAAAAGCGAGGAAGACAAGGAAAGACAGGTAGGAGAAATTCAGCTTTGAGAAAAACAGAACATTACTACTACTAACCTCTTCACCAGAGACATACAAGACCGGTGCTGGTTGGGCCAAATCATTCCCCTCGGCAATAATAGCTGCAATCTTTAAATTAAAGAAAATAAAAAGCCGTAATGTTCATTTCAAGCACCCAATTCACAAACCGTTGTTGCATTACTAGAAATTGATAAATATGTTCCTAACCTGCAACAACAAGGTACTCTTGCCAATACCAGGGTCACCACCAATCAGAACCAAGGAACCTACAAAAACAGCACCATAGTTATTATCAACAATGTTTGAGAAGCATATGATGAACACAAGCTTTGGATTAACTGAAAATAATTTTGGACCTGGTGCAAGACCACCACCAAGCACTCTCCCAACTTCATTCCCAAAAAGTCCAGGCCTAAACAGAAAATGCATCACGTAAACAAAAACACAACAAAACAAGAAGCTTCAAATCGGTTAAACTTCACAAGAAATGATAACTCCTACAGCAATCTCTTATACTGTAACAAAACCAAATCATCAGAAACAAAATGAATCTACAAATGCAGCAAGCCAAGGCAAACAACATACACTGAAATTCGCCAAAATCAAGAATATTCATGTAATTAAGAACATAACAAAACAAGAATATTAAAACCATTTAAACGTCACAAGAAATGAAATCTCCTACAACAATCGCTTAGATAGTAACAAAACCAAATCATCACAAACTATGTAACCTGCACCGTTCTAACCAATGAATCCACAAATACAACAAGCCAATGAAAAAGAGAAGATACAGTGAAATCCGCCAAACACAAGAATATTCAAAAAATTATACGTCACAAGAAATGATATCTCGAACAACAATCTCTTTGATAGTAACAAAATCAAAATCTATCTGAGCTACACTGTTCTACAACCAATGAATCCACAAATTCAGCAAGCCAAAGGAAAAGAACATACAGTGAAATCCGCCATTGCTGCTGAGTAATCCCATCAATAACAGAACTCAATTTGAGTGGCTGCACCACTCCTTGCTCAGGTAACCACGACAAACCAGTACCTTCCGATACACCGGAGCCGCCGCCGCCGCCGCTAGCTTTCCCACGAGACTCAGGACCTTCAGAGAAACGTCGCATCGTCCCAACCTTATTACAAGCGCGACAGCTTCCCCACCATTGCCCTTCCGAATGCCCACAGCTCTCACAAACCCAACAGCTTTTCGCTTTACCTTTCTTCTTATTCATAACCACTTCACCAGGATCCCATCCCCGAGCGAATCCACCGGAACTTGAACCAGCGGATTTTCTCGATTTCTCCTCCGGTTTGTCTTCTCTGCTGAAACTCCCTTCATTTGCGATTCCGTGAGTCGTCTTCCGTCTCTCTGTATCGATGTCTGAGATCAAATTGACGGTTTGATCAGAGACAGAGTCGAAAACGGAGCTGAGGCGGCGGAAACGGAGGCGGACGGGGGAAAAAGGAATCGTGACCGGAGAGGAAGAGGACGATCGGAGGAGAAGAGAGTGTGCTCGAGTGTAGAAGCATCTGGAGCACCTCATATTTGCGATCAACATCAACGAAATCTCAGAATCTTCTTTCTACTGCTCGTTAGGGTTTGAGCTTGGGAACCCGCCAATTTCACATTCTTTTTTTGCCGCTCAGTCTTCTTCCTTTCACATTTCTCTACACAACCACCACTTTAAGAGTCAAGAGTACCTAAATAAATTATGTATATATGTAATTAATAATTATGTTTAGGGGTAACTGAAAAAAAAATAGTAAATTAAATTAATTTTGCAAGATCAACCCTCACATAAAAAAATATAAGTTAATCTTTTCACCTCAAAAATATACTGCAATATAACTGTGGATGCAGAAATTCACACTAAGAAATTTATGTGTTTTGTAAGGAAAGAAACTTAGAAGAGTTGATGGCTAGATTCTCTCGAACAGATTGACAATATAAGCTAGCACTAACTGAAATAAGGACTTGATATTAATCGGTTGAATGAAACGGTTACAAAAGATTTTAGTATAAAAGATGAACTCAAGGAGCTCTAAGAGCAGCTACAGAGTTTCTAAGTGTAAAAAGTGTGTAAGAAGATCCAGCCGAAGGTCCCCAAAACTAAGGCATTCCCCTCCTTTATATAGCTTGCCTCGTCGAACTTCGAGCTCCAGCGCGTATCTCGGCCACGTGCAGCAGCCTCAGCCGGATATCTCGCCACGTGCAGCAACTTCCTCCGCGATCTTCGGACTCGTTTGAATTGGAGGGAATATTCTCTGACTTGGCTCAGACTCTTCCTTGTTTCTCGGGACTTAGTCGAGCTGGAGCTCGACCTTGCCGATCAGAACGTCTTGTTGCTTAGGATTGGGTTGTTGAAAGGTGAATGGGCTTGGGCCGCAGAGTTGAAGCCCAGCCACTTCGGCTTAGTATGGACCTGCCCGTTGGGCTTGAGTGGGCCAGATTTGGGGTGTCAAATCCAGCTCCAACAATTGCCCCCCAGCCCATTAACGAGAGCGAGCTTGCTTGTTGTTCCAACGAGAGCGAGCGAGCCCCTCCCCCCCCCCCCCCCCCCCCCCCGTCCCAGCTCCAGTTTTTCGTGCCCGGTAAGTTTTCTTTGAACTTGTATCTCGACCTTGCGTGTTGGATCATAATATTCTGACGCAAGGTGGTTTATTTTGCTGGCAGCCGGAGTTCTTCCTCTCTGTTCTATTTTACCTTCTTCTAGTTCAGCAAGTTCAAGTTCAGCAATGTCTCGCAAGCCCACCTTCCGTCAAAGAGCCGGGAAAGCCCCGTCTGGTCCCAGCAGCTCCAGGGTACGCTCCAGGAGCGTTAAGGAGGCCCTTGAGGCCGCGCTTGCCACAGCTTCTGCTTCCGCACCTCAACTCCGCGATGAGGAGGTTGAGCAGGTGATGGATCCTCAGCCCGACCCCCCCTCACAATTCGGTGGGAACGATCTCCGTGAGCTTGGGCAAAACCCAGCAGCCCACTGATGACCAAGGACCCGAGCAGTCTTTCCAGCCCACCTCTAAGAGGCCGAGAGATGACGTGGGAGGTCACGCCCATCGGCATCCAATGGGAGTGGTGGCTCGACGGGAAGTCAACCCTTCCACTGGAAATTCGAGCACACAAAGGATCATCCGATCACGGATGACTCCGAGGGCATGGCGGCCATGTGGCGTCATTTCAAGCTTGCTGGGTGCCAACTTCCAGCTCTCAAGAAAATGACTGAGAGGGAGCTCTACGTGGAGATGGCGGCTGCCCAGGGGAAGGTATGGGAATACCTTTTTCTTTGTGTAAGTTTGGTTAAGTGTCACTTGCCTTAACGCTTTGGTTCTTGATGCTTGTAGATGGCGGAGGCTGGGAACCGGCTATATGCTCGACTTGAGCAAAGGGTATGAGACGTTCCACATCCGGACGAGATCAAGGAAATGAAGGAGGTAGTCGGCAAGCTGAAGTCCGACCTAGAGGCTGCGAATGCGCATGTCGCTCGCCAGACTAGACTCCTTAAGCAGTACAAGGGCCAGCAAGCTCACATCACCGATCTCGAGATCGAGCTGGCAAACAAGGGTGAGAAGTTCAAGGTTGCCACCAACCAGATCTTCGAGGCTCAAGCTGAAGCGGTGCAGGCTCAACGCGAGGCCACGGCCTACCAGGAGGAGAATCTCCGTTTGGTCCGTGAGCGCGAGAGTGATGTCTGCAAAGCGGGCTGTGAGATCCGGAAAGATATGTCTCGGAAGTTCATGGAGGTGATCAAGGGCTTCAAGCTGAAGTGGGAGAGGAAGAAGGCCGAGGGCGTGGCCGAGTGCAATCTCCAGGAATGCATTGCTAACAAGGAGATGCTCGAACAGCTCAAGGCGAAAGCAACGACTGTCGAAGAGGAGCTGGAGAGGGTGACCAAAGAAGAGGAGGACTTGGGAGCGACTTTTAAGGCTGCCCAGGTTTCGAACTTCTCGATTAGCAAGCTCAATCTCCCCGTGATCTCCGAGGACTCGGTGGCTATGGATGTCGACCCGGTTTCAGGCGCGTCTGTTGGCCTTAATCAGTTTGGTACGAACGTGGAGGAAGGTGGAAGCGGTGGAGCGAGGAGGGAAGATGACGACGAGAAGGCGGGTGGTTAGCTTAACGGCTGACCGTGGTTCCTTTCTTTTTCCCTTCCTCTTTTTAAATTTTATTTTCGAACTTGGTTGTCCAGCGGGGGTTTTACGCTTGTTTTGGTGCCCGGGAGGGCTTTTATCCTTAAGTCTCGAACTCGTCTGTGCCCGAAAGGGCTTTACTTTTAATGCATTCGGGCCTCGTGCCTTAGACTTTGTTTACTGATAGCTTCGAGTTCGTTGCTCGATTTATCGGACTTAGATAAAACGATTGGGTCGCGAAGGGCGGTCTGTTTATTCTGAGAAAAATGGCTAAGTTTTTAGCTCGATTTTTCTTTAGTTTTTAGAATATGGATCGAACTGCTTCGCGGTGAAGTTTTGGTGTTCGAGGTAGAGTTTGCTTTCTTTTGAGCTAGGGATTTCTCAGTTTCAGCTTTGAAAAGGAGAAGGGGGTTCGATTTCGTTCTGATTTCCAAACATAGGGCTCGGTCGTCCCTGTCGAACTGCGAGCTGCGTTGGGCTCGTCGATTCGAGGTCTGGAGCTCCGGCTATGGTTGAAGTCGAATTATATATCTGGCCGCACCTGTGAAGTGGAGTAGGATTCCAAACTTAGTTGTTTTGCGAAATGAGAAGTGTGTACCTTATGATGCTTGGAAAGGCATCTAGGATAGGTGGCTTCCCCTCACCCCAAAGGAGTGAGGTACGTGTGTACTGTAGTTCGCTTATGTCGAGGTGTGGGAGGTTGGAAGTGCTTGGGCTTCGAGGTCGGTGAAATAGGACTTACCCCCCCCCCCCCCCCCCCCCCACGAGTGAGTGATGCGTGAGCTAGAGCTTGCTTGAACGAGGTGTGGGTGGGCAGGCTATGTTTTGACCTCGAAGACGAGCTGCAGAGCTCGAGTTTGTTTTTAAATGTAATTCAGCTTATAGATGTACGACGAGGGTGGTCCGAACTGTTTTAGTTCGTGATCTCGGTTTTGACAAATATAATTGTTGCTGAGTGAATGAATGTATTATTCCAAGTAAAAATAGGGAAAGGAGATGATACAACGTAGGGTCGTCGTGCGAAGCTCGCCTATTGATGTTGTCGTGTTGTGGAATAAAAGTTTGATAAAAAATGGTGGCTGAACTCGTGGGTCGAGCTGCCTACGTACCCCGTAAGGGGATCAGGCCATGACGTAGTTCGATTGTTTAAAGTGCTTTAGCGATAATACCTCTTGAGGTTCATTACGTTCCAAGGTCTTATCTCGGGCACCCCGTTTCGTACTTTCGTGAGCTTGTAGATGCCGTCGCGAACTACCTCGGTGATGCGATAGGGACCTTCCCAGTTGGTTCCTAGTTTTCCAGCACCGGGCTCTCTGGTGTAGTCTTGTACCTTGCGCATAACTAAGTCTCCTACGTTGAATCTCCGGTGTTTTACCTTAGAGTTGTAGTAGTGAGCTGCGGCCTGCTGGTAGTTTTAGATCCTGATCAGTGCTTGATCTCGACGTTCGTCGATCAGATCGAGCTGGTCCCTTAAGAGCTGCTCGTTTAGTTCGGTGTTCGTCGGGCACAGAGTCCGACGAAGGCTGGGAACTGCAGTTTCGGTTGGGATCACAGCTTCCAGCCCATAAGATAGTGAAAACGGTATTTCGCTGGTTGCTTTATGAGGTGTGGTTTGACAATCCCAGAGGATGGCCGAGATTTGTTCGGACCATCTCTCTTTCTTGGCGTCGAGCCGTCTCTTGAGGTTACTCAATATGGTTTTGTTTGTTGCTTCGGCTTGCCCGTTTCCTTGAGGGTAACGAGGTGTGGAGTAGGAGATTTTTGTCTTCCACTTCGCGCAGAAGTCTTTGAAATTTCGCGAGATAAACTGCGAACCGTTGTCTGTCACAATTTCATAAGGAAGTCCGTGACGACAAATCAGGTTTTTCCAGATGAAGCCGCGTACCTGGAGCTCGGTTGTTTGCTGATAAGCTTTAGCTTCTATCCATTTAGTAAAATAGTCGGTGAGCACCAGCAGGTACCTGAATTGCTTTGGTCCCGAGGGGACCATGAGTCCTACTATGTCCATTGACCATCTCATGAATGGATAGGATGCGGAGATCGACGACAGTCTTTCTGCTGGACAATGTATGATCGGGGCATACCTTTGACATTTGTCGCAGCTTTTAGATAGTCTTTGGCAGTCCGCTATCATGGTCGACCATAAATAGCCGAGTTTTTTAATTCGAATGACGAGCACTCGACCTCCAGCGTGGCTTCCGCAAGGGGACTTGGTGAGTGTCAGACATTACGGTGTATGCTTCCTCACCGTGTACACACTTGAGGTAAGGTTCGGATAGACCTCGCTTGTATAGCTTTTCATTGAATAACACGCTATAGCGGGCACTTTTGACCTTGAGCTTTCGAGCTTCCCACTTGTCGGGGGAGCTATTCCGTTTATGATGTACTCGAGGATGGGTATCTTCCAGTCCGCTCTGGCGACGAACTCGTCTTTGAAGGTCGATTCATCCGCGAGTGCAGTCGGTACTGTGTGGATTGTTGATTCCTGAGTACTTTGTGAGGAGGTCGGGTTCGACTCCGCGTCCTCTGGTGTAGGGTCAGCCGGCTCATCCT